AGTCAATCAGGGCAGGAAAATGAGCTTCAGACTCAGGTCAGAAGAGAAGCACAATAGCTTTCATTAAAAGAACGTCTATACCTGAGTCTCCTGCTTAGGTGACCAAATCACTGGTTGGGTTAAGAGCCACATTTTCAGGCTCATTAGCTTAACTTTCTCAAGTTTTTTAACTTAAAATGTGTCACATGAACAAAAGGAATTTAAACAACATATATAGAATTTAAAGAAAATATTACCACAAATATTCATGCAGTCATTCAACTTAATAGAAAATTACAAGTTCCTCTGAGGCCACCATGCCAGTCCCCCCTCGCTAGTCCCCCCATGCCTGCCAACTGTCTCCTGCCCGATGTCCTGCAACCAACTGCTTAACCATTTCCTGTCTGTCTTTAGAATTTTACCACACATTCATAATTTCCTAAGAGCATACTGACTTATCCTGTATATGAAAATACAGAATACACAAATGGCATCAAGTAGGTTTTCTTTGGGGGGGAAGCTAAAACGTGTCTGAGCACATCACCGAGCACACTGTCACGTTCTGCTGAAGCTGAGGTTCCGTTTGTTTTCACCACTGAAAATAACCCACTAATGAGCATCTGCCACACATTCATAATTTCCTAAGAGCATACTGACTTATCCTGTATATGAAAAAACAGAATACACAAATGGCATCAAGTAGGTTTTCTTTGGGGGGGAGCTAAAACGTGTCTGAGCACATCACCGAGCATACTGTCACGTTCTGCTGAAGCTGAGGTTCCTTTTTTTTTCACCACTGAAAATAACCCACTAATGAGCATCTACTTGATTTACCCATCTTGCTCCCACAAGACATTCACTGAGCTCTAGTTCCATTGCTATGGGAAGAATACTTAACTACTCCAGCTTTGTACAGATTTCCCACGGTGCCTAAGCAAGGACGCATTTCTCATAGACTAGAAAGCAGTGTGCAGATCGGCTGTCACATATGCTTAGACTCCACTTCACTAGGTAATAACAAATATTTCCAAAGCGGCTGCAGGAATTACAATTCTACTAGCCAGAACCATGACTTGACTTCAATATGTAGTGGTGTCACACTTAACCTTTACTTGTCTGTTGTGTATCAAAAAATGGTACTTTGGACCAAGTGCTGTGGTAATCCCAGCACTCAGGAGGCTAAGATGAAAGAATGGCTATGAGTTCAAGGCCAGCCTGAGCTACAGAGTGACACCTTGCCTCCAAACAAAAACAAAAACAAAACGGATCTCCTTGTAATTTGAAACACTCAGCTTTTGTTAGACTTTTAAATACAGGCATCCAGGGTGCCCTAGTGCAAATCAAATCCAATCCAATCTACAACACAGATGAACCTGTTGTTCTTACCATTTGGAACTTAGTGACCTGAATACATTTATACAACATTGAAGGTAAGCAGTACTTGGATCAGGTAAACAAACAAGTCTCAGATACACTGCCATCTGCCTTGCAGAAGTTCCTTTCAACTAGGAAGATTCAAGCCATTATTCTAAAGTTGAACAAAAATGTGTGGCTTATTTTTTTGGTCTTTTTGAGACAGGGTCTCCCTGTAGCCCAAGCTGGCCTGGAACTCACTATGTAGACCAGGCTGGCCTTGAACTCACAGAGATTAGCCAGCCTCTGCCTCCCATGGTCTGGGATTAAAGGCATGCGCCACCACACCCGATGGTTTTTTATGTTTTTATTTTGTATGTATACGTGTATTGCCTGCATGTGCATAAGTACACTCGTGTTGTGCAATGCCCATGGAGGTCAGACTAGGGTGTCAGATCCCCCAAAACTGGAGTTACGGACTGTTGTTAGCTGCCACGTGGGTGCTGGGACTCAAGCCCAGGTCCTCTGCAAGAGCAGCCAATGCTCTCAACCACTGAGTCATCTCTCCAGTTCCCTAAAGTTGAACATTTTAAATGAGGAAATAAGAGTGTTGGGGGCTGGAGAGATGGCTCAGTGGTTAAGAACACTGATTGTTCTTGCAGAAGAGCCGGGTTCAAACAACTGTCCATAAATCCAGCTCCAGGGGGTCCAATTGCCTCTTCTGTCCTCCACAGGCACTGCACGACATGAGTGCACTTACCTACATGCAGACAATACACGCATACACATAAAATAAAAATAATAAAATATTAAAAAAAAAACAAAAGAATGTTACGTTTTAGAAAAGCCAAAACAGAAGGAAGTGTCGGCCACCGTAAACTTAAGTGTGACACTAACTAGAGAGCACCATTAACAGGGCAACAGATGGACATTTGCTCCTCTGAGGAAATCAAGGGGAGTCATCACTGCTGGCTTCAGCCTAGCACATACTCTACTTTGCTTTCTTGGTCCTTTCAGGTAGTAATTCTTATGGGATCCCTCCTCCCCCAATCTGTGTGTGTGTGTGTGTGTCTCTCTGTCTCTGTCTGCTCTCTGGTGTGGTGTGTGGTATGTGTGATATGTGGTGTGTATGTGAATGTGCAGGTGTGTGCACCTGTGCACACCCATGTGGAGGCAGAGGAAGAGCTAAGTGTCTTCTAACCCTCTTAGCCTTACTGCCTAGAGACAGGGTCTCTCACTGAACTGGACACTCCCCATTTTAGCCAGGCTGGATGGCGAGCAAGCTCCCAGGCTCCACCTGTCTCTGCCTCCCAATGTTGGGGTAACAGGCACATATAGACATGCCAACATAGACATGTTTCTTTTTTATATGGGTTCTGGGGTTCAAGTGTAGACCCTCATGCTTGCATGGCAAGAACTCTTGCCCACTGAGCCATCTCCTCACTCCTCAGACTCTCTTAAGACAGAAGTTCACAGCACTTTGCCCTAATAAATGATAGCTTCTGAATTTCAGTCTGTTGAAGCCTTCTATGGTTTGGATATGGCTTGTCCTCAAGTTCATGAACTAGAAGCTGGGTCTCTAATGTGGCAACATGAGAGATGGGAACCTTTAGGAGATGAGGCCTTACACAAGGTCTTAGGTCACTCAGGAAAACCCTCAGAAGGAATTACCTCAGTTCTCAGAAGAGTGAATTGTTATGTAAGTAGGAGCCTGATCCTGAACTGTTGTTTTCTGTATGGCAATGTGCTCCCTCATGCACTCCTCCCATGATGCCACCTGACCTGAAGCCCTCCCCAGAGACCAAACCAATGGGATTTTGGTCTTACAGCCTCCAGAACTGTGAATTCAATAAACTTCTTTTCTTTGAAAAGCAACCTGCTTCAGATTATTTTGTTACAGTGATGACTAATGGGCCAATATAAGGCTCTTACCTCAGTTTTTCTAGGGAGAGGGAGGAAACCAGAAAATGCTTTACAGTGTTATCTAGATTTGACGTGTCCAGGAACGTTCTTGCTCTGATCAACTATGCTTTGCTGTGGGAGTTGGTGGGCAGAATGTACATTATGGGCACAAAACTAGCCCCTGAAATTTAGTAATTATCAGTGGAAAATAACGGTCTTTCAATACTGAATAATTTCATTATCTGGAACAAGTCAAGTTCCGGGATCAGAGAGAAGTAGCTACAAAAACTTTTTAAATAACTCAGTCACAACATAAGAAATATTTTTCGAAAAACAGAAAATCTGTTTACGGGGCCACTTGCTTTTGCTCGTTCGCAGTCTCACTTCACCCCACCCAATGTCAAACTGATGTAGCAATGGGTCCAGGTAAACATTTAAGCTTACTTTTTAAAATCCCACAATGACATTTGCTTTATACTGACCTGACAGAGCACGGTTATAATAATCTCCAGAAAGAGTGAAGTGGGCGTAGCCCTCAGGGGTAGTTCTTATGTGCTGAAGAAAGTTCAATCCTGCAACGAAAGCAGCTCTTAATGCAGAGGCAGAAGCCACACTGGCCTTCCCAGACAAATCACATTCCACAGATACCCACTATAGCTAGCACTGATGCCCCTCACGGGAGAGCACACAAAATTGTGGGATTCTGTCCACCACGTAGGTTTTTACATCACTTCTGATATTTTAAAAACACTACATTAAAATATTATTTATCTTAAGTGACTTTTTGGTGCCCCCCGCAACACTGTCATACCTGATCCATGGGGTCTCACTCCCCAAGCCCCAGAACGTGGGTCCATCCAAAGCCTTAGGAACATAAAAAGGCATTTCTCCGAGAACAGAAAAAGGGCAGAGAGATGTGAAGTCTGTCTGCTGAATGCTAGCTCAAAATTTTAAGATTATCATAGAAAAATAAGAAGCCAGCTGAACTATTCTCTACAGAAAAGCTCTTCATGCCAACAATGAAAACTCCAGCTGCTTTTCTTCATGCATCCTGGGTAAGGCCTGGGGGTGCAGGATGGGGACAGCTCTACGACAGGCAGAAGGCTGACTTAGCACCCCAGAGCCAAACTCCCTGGAAGGGGGAAGAGGCTAAGGCTGGCAAGAAGGAAACCATGTGAGTGGAGAGTGATTTTCACCAACTACCCTTGGAAGCCTCCCTCTAGCTGTATGCAAGAGTACCCTGGGGACATAGTGCTGCTGCTCTGGTCCTGACCTACCAGGCAACTTATAGATGCAGAAGGAGCCAAGGTGAGCTTTCTAATAATATTCTATCTGGTTTGGTTTGGAAGAGAGAAGCAACATAGAGGCATCTTTCCAAAATGTCCAGGTAATGTGATTCATGACAACATTTAGGTTCACAAGGTACACAGAATGGAGAGAAGGGAATTACTCAGCTCAGTGACAACTGCTACGATTCCTAAGCGATAGCCTGAAAGTCACATACAGCAAATAGACACACATTTCTAGCCCACACTTCCTCAAGGAGCCCATACTCACACTTGGGTACACCCTACTTTCCACAACTCACCTTTGAGAAGCCCATGCCTTCAGGTGTGTCTAACTTTCTTCTGAATTCCTTTCTCCTAACCCTCATGCTTGAACTTATATTAAAATATCTTTACTAAATCCCAACTCTGCTACATTAAAAAAAAAACTTCTGAAAAACAACAACAACAAAATACTGGACTGAAGACTTGGCTCAGTGGTTAAGAGCACTGACTGCTCTTGTAGAGGACCCAGGTTTGATTCCCAGCACCCACATAGTGGATATGACCCATCCTTAACTCCAGTTCCAGGGGAATACGAAGCCCTCTTCTGATCTCCGTGGCACTGTATGACACGGGTGCACTTACATACATGAAGGCAATACAATGGTACACATAAAAAAAAATATTTTTTAAAAAATACATAAAACTATTATCTCAGTTTTACCTGTATTACTAAGTAAAGGGAACAAGAATATCATGAATAATCAATTAAAAAAGTATTTTTATTTTATGTGTGTAAGTGTATTGCCTGTGTGTGTGTAAGGGTACCCATGTCAAGAGATGCCTGCAGAGGTCAGAAGAGGGTGTCAGATCCCCTGGAACTGGAGTTACAGATGGCTGTTAGTAGCCATGTGGGTGCTGGGAACTGAACCCAAGTCCTCTACAAGAGCAGGCAATGCTCTCAATCACTGAGCCACCTTTCCAGTCCTATCATGAAGAATTTTAAAAGATGGGCCCAAGGAAGCAAGCAGCTGCTGAACTGTTGGGGAGCCTCTGAGTGAGGCATACTCACGGGAGAAGGTGAGTTCAGCGAGGGGCACATCACAGTCCATGCAGTCATCGATGAAGCATATGCAAATGGTTTCAGCCTTGACCTCCACTCCAGAGATGCGTGAGGCTGCTACGGCCCCTGGGCTGTCTCGGCTGCTGGAAGCCAGTGAGAGAGACTTCAGAGGCTCTGCATTCTTGAACAGCCAGCTCGCTGCCTTTTTCAATTGGCCTTCAAAGAAATTAGAAGGTGAACAGTTCCACCAGTTTCCACAGCCGCCCTGGCAACTCACAGAGGAAACAAAGAAACAGTTTTATAGAAATCTGTGGAACAGCCCAAGAGAGCCTTGATCTAGACTGTTAAAAGGGGAAGGGGTCAATATAACAAGGGAATTCTGCTCTTAAACAGAACAAGGTCCTGCTTGTTGCACACCTTCTTCTCAGGCTGATCACACCTTTCCTGCTCTGACTCTGGCCTCCCTCTTGAAATGGCTATGGACAGAGAGGAGAGGAGACAGGAGGACCGGAGTGGAGGGACCCAGACTCCTGGGGCCATATGCACGTTTCTTCTACTCTCTGGAGTTCTGCATACACTGATAACGCCTTGTTAACTGGTCTCAAGTGTCTTACTTTGTGCATAGTTTGTCTTCTCAACCACAAGCTCCTTGAGAGCAGAGAACAAAATGAGACTTGGGTGTAAGGTAGAGCTGGTAAATACCAGCTGCCTAATTCCAGAGTTCTACCCCCAAGAAAACAAAAAAGAAATGAGGGAAGGGAAGGGGAGGAGGGAGAGGGGACAAGAGGAAGAAGGGAGAGGCCGAGGAAAGGAAGCAAAGGGGAAAAGAAAAGGAAAGCAATGCCGCTCCACACTTAAAGCTTGCCAGAGTATGGATGGATGCCTGCTGGAGAGCACGGGCTCCGGACAAGGTGACCTGCTCTAGACCCTGGTTCGGCCTTATGAGCTACTGAATCTACAGCAAGTTGTTTGATTCTCTGTGCCCCACGGCACTTACAGGGTCAACATGCAGGCAAAACATTCATGCACATAAAACGCAAATAATTCTATCCAAAAAAATTTTTTAATAAATGTAATAAAAGAAAAAAAAAAGACCAGAGACAGGGATGTGGAAGGTCAGTACATGGTCATGGTCAGGAGTCAGCAGTCAGGACTGTTACAAACAGCGCTACTACCAACACCACCATTTGCCAGGGCAACCAACTCCACAACACTTCATTGTGCCAGGCACTTCCCCACAGACAAGGCCTCCTATCACCATTCCACAGAAAGGAAGCACTAGGCCGGAGAGGCTCAGCAACTGGCCCAGAGTCCTTGGCGAGCAGCTGATGAGGAGCAGAGAAGAATCTGACCCATGAGCCAGCTCCAGAGCCAAGCTGCTCCACAGAAAATTCTGCTGATCACAGCTACAGCCAGCCCAGAACAAAATGCAGCCTTCTGAATATGGTCCAGCTCGCCAAGTCATCTTCATGGAACAGATGAGGAAATGGAAGAACGGAGGGGGACGAGACAGACAACAGGCAGCGAAACCCACATTCAAGTTACCTTGACACACCAGAAGAGCCTTGCGGCAGTCATCCACGCTGAAGCCCAGCTCCTGCAGTCTAGCCAACTGTAGCTCTACGAAACAATTTCATGCAAGTTACTCCACAGTCCAATGAGAGAGAGAGAGAGGGAGACTGACTAATACATTTCCTCTCTTACAGCAAGATGGTCTTCTAGTACAGAGCATTATCAAGTGGTGAACCTGAAACTTTTCAGTCATCTCCTATGCTGTGTCTTTAAAAGCACAAAACTAACATTATCCACATAATTTCAGAGGAAATTTCTCAAATTTTAAAACTAAACTTGAGTAGCAGCCATGCACCTCTGGAAGGGATTGTAACAGAAAAAGCAGTTACAGGCTAGAGCAGCTGCTCCAAAGTATGTTTTTAAATTTAAAACAAAAAGCAACCCCCCGCACCCCGAAAGTTGTACTTATGATTTACAGCTATTCTCAATGACAAATAATGAGAAATAGGCTATGAACAAGTGAATTGAGCATAAGGAAATTGGAAAAGTTGAAAAAGGACAAAAAAGGAAAGTTATAAGGTACAATGGCTCACACCTATACATCTAGCATGAGGGAGGCTGAGGCAGGACTGCCAGGAGTTTGAGCACTGCTTGGCCAAGCCACCAAGGGTTGCAGAGTATATATACATATTTTAATTTTTAATAACTACATGATTAGAAGAAGCATTTCACTACAGCTTTAACATATTCAGTGACACACACCAGAGCAAGAGTACATCTCTTTCACAAGTGGGCACAAGTTTCTAGGTTCACAGTTAAATCATTTTAGAAAATATTGTTCCTTGCAGAAAGACTCATTGTTTTTGCTACTAACACTGAGATGTTGGCGCATGCATCTCTAATCTGTATGCATCTGATTATTACTAGTCCTAATCAGTTGCACTTGGATCCCTGGTGCCTGTGTATGTCTCTATAAAGCCATCAGGATGATTTCAGTGGTAATGTTTATCACCTCTACTAATTAGCATGACGTGAATTTCCATGCTTCCTCATCAAATATAGTACATTTTTAAAAATCTGATTGTGTGTGTGTATCACACAGAACATCCCAAACCATCTTATTCAACTATACACCCACTTCCCAGATGGCACCCTCCCATAGCCTCCCTCCCCTGACTAGGGCCCTTATACTCTGATATCCCTGCTACCGTCTGCTGTGTTGTCGGCACCCCCAAGCCATTCCCCACTACTTCCCGTTCTGGTGAATCTAGTCAGGATGGTCAGCTGTTCCTCATTTAGCAGCAATCAGTTGTCAGTATTCCTTTAGATAAGATTGGGGTCTGCTGTTTATTTTCCCAGTTCTACGCTGGGTCCCTTTGGGAGGTCTCCCTGGGTCTATCTGGGAGTCCCTTGGGCCACCCTGGCCAACAACTCAAAAGAAGTTGTCTCCTATCTGGCATTGTTGCTTGTTATGTAGCCTTTAGCTATGCATATGGACTCTTAAAAAAATTATATTGGCCCCTTTAATCTTTGGTTATACTTTCCTTTTGGGTATTTAAGGCCATACAGTTGGCCCACATAAAACAATTTATTTTCACTCTTAAGGTTGTTTGAGGATCTGTTCCTCAGGGGTCACATGGGCTTGAGAGGAGCCCCTGGCTCCTTTCTTTTACCAGTTCTGCCTATGTGAAGATAAGTCAAAGGTCCTGCTCGACCATGGTTGGCTTCGCTTGGAAGCATGGAGGAAACAATTTCTGTGTTGACCCTCCTCTTTGGAGACCGGACACTGGTTCAAGTCCACCTGGTGGGGTCTCCTCAGCCTCCTTGATCAAGAGGACAGGTGACTCACCACAATTACAGGACATTCAGAGAGATGCTCATAGTCCCCTGGAACTAGTTGACCTGGGAGAGCAAATTATTACAGTACCACGACTCTGGTACTTTTAATTACTGTGTGTCATGTAGATAAATCTTGGGCAAAGACTAATTATTCTCAGATAAACCTTACCTAGACATATATTTGTTGATCTGCTATGTATAATTTATAAGTAGGTTGTAGGAGTAATATGGTTCCCTCTGGTTTTCAAAACTAGCTACGCATTATTTATCTCTCGCATTGTCTCACCCCTCCATCATGGTTTTCCCACTTAAGGTGCCCCCATTTCCCCTTTTTACATTATTAATATCCTATTATGGTCCTACCTCTCTTGAGCGCCTTCTTTCCCTTTATCCCCTAGGTTCCTTGTATGCCCTTCCCTCCCCCCTCCCAACCTAACCCAACTTTTATCTATACCTCCCTTATTAAGTCCTGTTTCCTACTGTTCTCTTTCAGGTTCTTCCTTTTCCTTTACCTCCCTGGTTCCTGTAGTTATGTCTGGATACATACTCACTTATCAGGGTTTGGTTCTAGGATCCACATATGAGAGAGAACCTATGTCGATT